ACATATATATTTATACAGTATGTACATATATGTTGTTTTTTCAGAGCTTACATATTATTATTACTAAAAATGAAAGGTTAAAATATATTATAATATTAACTTTATATAACAAAGTACAGTATTGTAATATTATTTACCTTGTTTGAACAACTTCTAGAATTATGCCCTGTACTATTACAAATACTACACACATATTTTTTTTTAGTAACATGTTCAGAACCTGTCTTTTTGCACTTAGTATCACTTGGTCTTTCTTTGGTCTTTGCAATAACTGAATCTCTGATATCTTCTTGTAACAATAGGTATTTACTATTTAATTGTTCTACAAAAAGAGCCAGAGTATTATTAATCTTAACATAACCTACTTAATTTGAAATAGTTTCAATATCTTTAAATAAATCCAAAGTACTTTTAGTAGATACTTGTCAATTAGTTGACATATTATAAATACTATAATTAGACTTATTCATAGATTCATTATTATTTTTGGAATTGCTATTGATGTTATTATTATTAAGATTGTTATTAGCTGTTAGCATTGTTATTATTAAGATTAACATTGTTATTATTAAGATCATCATTATTATTGAGATTATAACTAATATCATTTTGTTTTTCAGTCATAGTAAGTTCTGAAAAAAAGATAACCTGATGAGTATCAATGTAATTAAGACTTAGTATTTTTTTATTAGCAATATGAACAGCAAGAACATGACAGCATGGTAAGGCAAATTGGACATTGTAATTACAAGAACAAATATATCTATTATCAATTTGATATATTGTATATTTATAAATTTCATTATGATATATATGTAACAAGTTCACTTCTTGTCTTTTAATATTATAAGTAAGAGCCATATTATGTTGCTCTAACAATAAAGTGTACACAAAATCTAATACTGCTAATAAAATATCTTTTAATAATTAAGGTTCTTGTTGATGAATACTATTATGTAAATGATACTATTTATATTGATAGTGTTGAAGCTGATAATGAGAAAGCTTTTCTATAGCATTAATTAATTTTAGTAGAGGTGCTATGTGACTATATAAATGTTTTAAGTATGCATTAGTAGCTTCTGACTGCTGTGTTGTCCTTACTTCATAGTTAACATTTTTGTTAGTATAACAACAGACCTACATTCTTTCAAGAGGTTTCTACTGCTCTATTATATAAGTACTAGCCTCAGTATATTTAGTAATTAAGTAATTTCACTAAGTATTAAATTGATCCACTGTAGGTTCTAGCATTACTGCTTTGAAATTTTTGCCGAATGCTATAAACTTATCTTTGAGCTTGTTATTTAAGTTTTTAACAATATTTTGCTCAATATGCCAAATATAAAGTTGATGTTTAACATGTAACAACTCTGTTCAAACTGCAAAGATAAGTGCAAGATCCCTATCACTTACAAGAGTCCATATGTTGTTAATAATTATGTCACTAACCAGTTGCTTTAATTAACAAAACACTCAACAAAAATTTGATGTAGTTTTATTAGCAAAAAGACAACTTGTAGTAAGAAATATTATGCCTATTGCATTGACATCAGTGATAAGAGAAGTAGCATTCAAAATTAATATATTAAAGAAAATTTTTTTAAAAAAATAAAAAAATTAAAAAAAGATAAAATAAATTAAAAAAAATAAAATATAAAAATATAATACAACCCAAACTAATTAGTTTTATATGTAGAATCTATTAATATAATTTTAAATAACTCTTGAAAGTAGAAATTGCAAAATGGGTAAAAAAAAATAGACAATAAAGCTTTTCATTGTTTACTAAATAGGTAACCAAATATTTGTTATTACTATTTAAATAATTTAGCAATTCTGTGGTTTGTGACAAACCCTTACATAATATCAAGATTAATGATTTAAAGAATTATACACATCTTTACTATGAATGTATCTGTTATACTATTCAGTTAGCATGTTAATAATTGTTGGTATTGGCACTCCTCTATCATAGAGCATTTGTATATGCATATTTTTATTATGATTTAGCTTCCAATAGCCAGAATCAAACATAACTGTGGCAAAGTCTAAAGGATGTTTATGTTTAAAGTTAACCTGTGTTACATGATATTTATATTTTTTTCAGTAAACTAGTATTTTAAATAGGCAATTAATAGTGATACTTCTTGTTTTCTTAGTCCAGTACTTATATTGCTCATAGTATTAGCATGACAACAGATAATATCTGTTTTAAGAATAAAACCCATATTTCTTTTCATTCTGTGGAGTCTTGTGGCAAATCCTTAACTTATTGCATAAGAATTGATGTGCTGTTAAATATTGTTCCAATCAATAAAAGTTTGTCCAACAAGTATTGTAGCTGAATTATTACTAGTTGAAAGTATTTGTCTTCTAAATAAAGTTATAGATAGTTCATTGTTATTTAAAATATTAAGAGAATTTTCATTATTACTAGTATTAGGGATGCTAACAACTTGACTTGACTAGCTTTGACTCGACTTGCATCGACTTTACCTCTAAGTCAACTCAAGTCAGTTTTTAGCTGATCACATGAACCCACCTATTGTTACAGTATTACGTAGTGCTAATATCCCTGAATTTAGTGCCTGATATATGTTAGTGTTAGAACTTAAAAATCTGTTCAGATATTACTTTTCAATAAGCGAGCTAAAGATCTAAACAAGAATTAGGTGACTTGTCATATTGTTAACATTTGTATTACTAAGCACATATGACTTTTTTACTATATTTCAATTGACAGATCGCTAATACAGATCTTAGCTTTTAGAGTTTGAAACCATATATGTGTATATATAGTCAGCTGCTTTTTCTTTACCTTGGGCATCTATTGACATGTTTTGTTACAATGAAGTTTAGTTTTGAACACACACATGTTACTTTTAGTTATAAGTTTCATGGAAACTTAATTGTGGATTGTAGTGATAGTATATAAGTATGAAGAGCAGAGACAGGTAAATTTCAAAACTATTCATGACATAATTGTTTCTTAAATGTAATTAAGTTCATGAGACATTTTTTTCAATATACTTTAGAAGAATCAATGAATATGGAATTGACCTTCAATTCACAAAAATGCATCGTTAAAGGATTTATAACAAGTATGTGAATATAGTATATACTTTCAGTATCTTTATGTTTGTATTATATAAGGGAATTGACTTTATGCTATTTATTATTGGACATTTAATAATAGCAAAGCTTTCATTCATAGGTTTTGTTCAATTTTATAGAATGTATATATATAATGCACGATCTCTTAATATGTTCAAAAAATAATGTATATTTGCTTGCATTATTTTTAATTTTGCAATAAAATTGATAGCTATATAAGTAATCAATTCTTTAATTTTATTATTATTTGATTTGTTATTGCATTATGAAATATTAATATTTATAACAAAATAATAATAATAAAAATGATAATAAAATATAATACTACTGTAGTATTTTATATAAGTTTATCTGTTTAATAATTAAATAAATTTTAGCTTTAAGAATATGATTAATTAAATAATACATACTTTCAAATTCAGGTCCAAGAATATTTTTATCTATCCAGCTTTTTAAACAAAGACATGCACAGGCACTTTTACTTGTTAATTAATTTCTTTGTTTACTAATAACAGTTCCAGCAATTAAAAATAACTGCTCACAAGGTATAGAACTTGCTTGAATTGATAAATAGTCTCATGCAAAACTAGATAATAATGGAAATTCATTTTGGTGCATTTTCTACTATGTTAATAGTTCAATATCATCATTATAAAGTGAAAGGTTCTAGTAACGTTGTACTTTATCCATTTGTTGTACATTTGATGAATGTTGTGTTAATCATATTACAAACATTGATACTTTTTGATTTGGTGTTGTATTTGTATTATTTGTAGAAATTCAGCATTGTATAGAATTAAAAATTTCTTGCTCTGTTTTTTCAGAAAAACAAAATTTTTTATAGCATGGATCTAAGAATGCAGCTATATGTGCTATTTCATCAATATGCTGCCTATGCTTTTGTAATTTGTTATAAATAGCTACAAAGACCTCTTTCAATAAATTATTATCAGTATTATATAATTTTAAGTCATCACAAATGCTTAATAAAATAATGCATACATGAGCAATTATAGGATAATTTTGTGCAGATAATTCTTTTGTAGCAACATCAAATTGATCTAACAATTTTACCAAACTTATAACATAATTTCATTCATTATGTATTAGATATAAATCTTGTAATAAAGGATAATGTCGTATAATTATATTTAGATATTCCTTAAGAACTAGCATATGTTTTAGCATATAGAATGTAGAATTCTATTGTGTCTTAATATCAAGAACTGGTCAAAGAAATTCCTTTTGATCAGCTAAATGAAATCATTCTAAGTCTTCCAAATATGCATAAGAGTTACGTATTGATTTACTAGTCGTCTTATTTTCTTAATCAATATTTCAACCTGTTTTAATCCACTTTCTACTATAAGATTAAGTATATGACAAATACAATGATAATGTGTAAACTCATTAGAACCAAGTTTTAGTTTTATTTGGTTGCATGCTTTAACTATATTTGATCCATTATCACTTATAATAGCAGTAATTTTCTGAGTTAAGTTAAATTCATTCAAAATTAATATAATAAAGTTGCAAATAGCTGTTTCTATATAAGATTCTTGAAATCTAAGTATTTCTAAAGTAAAATGTTGTAAGTGCCAATCCTTATCAATATAATAAATCATAAGAGCAAGAAAACTTTCTATTTTAATATTAGACCATATATCTGCAGTAATTGATACTTTTCCAGAAATATTGCTAATTATTATATTAAGCTTTTGCTATTGCTTTATAAATGTATCCAAAATTTTATTATAAATCAATTGCCATTTTGGAATTTTAAATAGAGGATCAAGTTTATTTAGTAATTTATGAAATGAAAGTTCATCTACTACAGAAAATAATTGCATACTTTGAATAATCCATTTAATTAAAAGAGTTAATCATTCAATTTGTTCTTTTTCAGGATGTGATTTACATAATTCATTCTTTTTTAATATTTCATGCCTATGTAAATGATCTCGTATAACTGTTGTACTTGTCTTTGCTGAAAATATAATAGTGCATTCTGGACATTGTCAGTCATCCTTGTTTACATATTACCAAACATCAGCAATATATCTATTAGAACTTTTGGAATTAGTTTCTTCAATCTCTACTGTAAAATTTTCAATTCTAGTATCTTCTTCATTATCAATATTAGAATTATTAATTTCAAAAATCTGCATATCTGTACTAAACATTTTGCTAGATTCTAATTCTTCGATTTCAGCAATAAATTCATTAAAATTATTATAATCTTCAAAACTTTGATCAAATTCATTTGTTGTGTTTATTTTATCTATTAGTAAAAGGTTAAAAAATTTTTATTATCACACTCTATATACGATTAATTTTAACAATTATATGCAATACAAATCTAATTTACTAATATATATATCTATCACTATTGTTAACTATATACTTATCACTATCACTATTGTTGATTAAACCTAATAATTAGATTCTTTAAATATTTATTATTAATTGACTTGAGTCGACTAGCTTGATAATAAAATAATCATCGACTTAATGTCTTAAGTCATTGACTTGAATCAAGCTATTAGCATTCCTAACTAGTATCAATATTGATATCAAGATTTGTTTCAACATTAATATCAAGGTCAGTATTTTCAAATAATTGTTCAATTATATTAATATTAAGGTCTGTATTTTCAAATGATTGTTCAATATCTATTTTGTAGCATGAAAACATGAAAAAAGAATTAAGTTTTGTAAAGTAGAAAGGCCAAAAAAATACATAATATAGCAATAAGCTAGTAATTTATATTGATTGATTCTTGATGACAGATTATAATGTAATAAAGACTAATTATTAACTTTAAGTATCAATAACTTTGAGTTTTATTAACTTTGCACAATATTAACTCTGCATATTATTAACTTGTATATTATTCTATTTGCAAGTACTAAAGTTTTTATATTTTTGCATGTTACATAATCATGACAATTTCTGATGAGAAATAATATTGGATCTAATATTGATTTATGATAAAGAAATAAACTTAGTAATATATTTTTCAAATGACCTTGGATTTGATTTAATTCAGGTTTGTTTAGACCTAAATTGAGTATAACTTTAGCTAAATTCTAACCTAAATTAGGTTCAACTTGAACCAATTTTGGTTTACTTGAACCTAAATTAGGATTAATTTAGGTTTACTTGAACCTAACTAATGCTGCTATTTGATTGGCTGGCAGCAAAGTGTCGAATCATGTGACAGATAGATTTAAATATGAAGTTTATTTTAAGCTACATTGGTCATATAATCACATGATGGGTTAAAATGACCTGGGTCAAAATAGAATTTTCTAAATTTTATTATATTATTATTAATGCAGCACTTACTAATTTATGTATTACTTATTTATTTAATTTATGCATTACTTATTTTATTTTCTTATACCCTGATCTCATGATTTAACTTTTATTTAGTTATCATATATATGCATAATATCTTGTTTAAATCAAAGCCATTCTTATTATACAGTATATATATATTGTTTGTTATTTAATATTATTTTATTATTATTATTATTTTTATTTGTTTGTTGCATCTTGTTTGTATTCTAAATAAGCACATTGTGTATTATGTTATACTATAGTACTAGTATAATACAGGTAACAGATATCTGATTCCAACTAATTTTAAAAAACAGTTAACTATAATATAAAAAAAATTGCAAATTTTACTAACACAAGGATTTAAATTCTAGATCTGCCAGTTAGAGGTTGACAATTTGTTCACTTTACTAGATTAGCATACTCTTCTAATAGAACTTTTTTTTTTTAATATTAAAGTAACCTCTTTGATCTTTTAACTTTTATTAATAACTTTTTTGATAATGTAATTTAGTAAACTATTACAAAAGAGCATACAATTGGCATATATATAACTTTTCTATATTATTTATTTAAGGAGTCTGACTGAAGGTTCTTTATCAATTGTTATATTTAATATTTTGTTTGAATGTTTCACTTTAAACTCTCTGAACCTGCAATCTTTATTAATGTTACTAGGTCAAGCTCAGGTTATTGTTTTAACTTTAGGACTAATTTATTCTCAAAATAAACTTTTTGAAATCTTCTGCATCTATTTTTATAGCTGATCTAGTATTGCTATAGTAAAACTAACACTTGCAATTAGAGTTATATTATTTAACTGGTATGTTCTTGTAGAGTTCATACAGATTTTAGCATCTACTTTGCAACATAACCTTAGTACTTTAGTATAGTTCTGCCTTTTGTCTAGCCTTTTGTTTAAACTTTAATTCAAATAGTTTATATAGAACTATAACTAGTCTATAGATATATCAGATTAGCCTAATATTCTTTTTCTACAATTTGATCTAATAGCCTAGTTGGTAGTATCTCTAAAACTTTCAATCCAAAGGCTTTGCCTATTTAGGTATTATGACCAGATATTATAAGCTTGATATCTATTTTCTTAGACTAGCCTTTATAGTAGCACTGTCAAAGATCTGGCTACCTCTTTATTTGGGTTTTCTTAAATGAACTTCTTGTTACCCAATTTCAATAGATTTATACAGTCACAAAACTTATCAAGTGTTTGTATTACCCAATTTAACAATATGCATTTCTATATATAACTAGTTGTATAGATGCCCTATGACCTGTCAGTCATGCTAATACAACTATTATTACAGATATTCTAACCCAATTATTAGTAAATTAATAACAATTTTATAAAAAATATTACAGTTATTAACAACTTACAAATACCTTTATAACAAACCAATTTTAACTTAAAACTAAGAAATAATTTGCTATATTACTATTTTAAAAAATTAAAAAATATATTTACTATTATATACAAAATTCAATTACATTTTATAGACTTATTTTATAATTAGACTGATTCTTTAGCTAAATATGAAACTACAAAACCTATTTTTAAATTAAATATTTTAAAATTTAATGTACTAAATTATTTTTTTTAGGAATAATTAACTAATTTTCTTTAAATTATATTTTTTATCAAAAATATTTTAACTATTTATAAACTAATAATTGGTCAGCTTTAAAATTTTTTTAAAATATACTAACATTAAATAAAATATAAATTTTAAAATTATAAATTTATTTGAAACAATTTACAAAAATACTTTTTTTGTATTAATATGTTAAATAACAAT